AGAAAGTCTAAGTAGGTAAAAGCTAGAAAGTTATAGAAGCAAAATGTCTCATTAAACCTTGCAGCATTTTACCCAGGTAGAAGCAAAGGCTGTCTAAATTGAAACCTGCTCAAAAATAAAATCTGACGGGAAATCAGCATTTCTTTTATTTTTGTCTGACTACAGCCCATACACGTTGGAAAACAGGATAATATAATGAAACCAAGATCAACTCAACAGCATCCTCAATTGTCTGCTATATTCCAAGGTGTGCCCTGAAGCCAGATTCTACATACATTCCTCCTTTTGGAATGATGGGCCAGGAAGAGAAGCCCATCAGATAATTATTGCACTCTTTACCTTTCCCTCAAAAGGAAGGCAAGTACAGCTACTTGCTATCTCTTTCCATGAAGAAAATGTTTTGATTGAAAAGATTTGAATCCAAAGTGGATGACTTAGATTGTACGAGCAGCATCATGGCTCAGTGGTTAGCACTATTGCCTCACAGCACCAGGGACCTGGGTTCGATCCTGCCCTTTGGTGACTGCCTGTCTGGAGTTTGCACATTCTCCCTGTGTCTGCGTGGGTTTGTTCTGGTTTCCTCCCACAATCCAAGATGTGCAGATTGGGTGGATGTGGCTATGCTAAATTACCCATAGTGTCCAAAGGATGTGCCGGGTCTGGTTGGATGCTCTTCGGAGGGTCAGTGTGGATTTGATGGACCAAATTGCCTGCTTCCACACTGAGGGATTCTAAGAGCAAGGAGATCATTGCTGGAAATGTACAGAAGTTTGGTTAGAATACAACTATGTGCAGTTTTGGTCAGTTACACACTATAGGAAGGATATAATTGCTCTGAGGAGGTGCATAGGAGATTCACTAGGATGTTACCTGAGATGGAGCATTTCAGCTACGAAGACAGACTAATTAAGCTTGGGTTCTTTGGATTAGAGAAGGCTGATGTGGAATCTGATTGAGGTGTACAAGATTATGAGGGACATGGACGGGGGGCAAGGAAAGCAGCTATTCCCCTGTGCTGAAAGGTCAATAACAACGGTGCACCATTTTCAAGTGAAAGGCAGGAGGTTTAGAGGGGATTTGAGGAAAAGCTTTTTCATCCAGAGGGTGATGGCAGTCTGGAATGCACTGCCTGGAAGTGTAGTTGAGGCAGGAAGTCTCACAACCTTTAAAAAGTACTTGGATGAGCACCTGAAGTGTTAGAACATTCAAAGCTATGGGCCTTGTGCAGGAAATTGGGACTAGATTATTAGATAGTAGTATATTTTTTGGCTGTATAGACTTGATGGGCTGAAGGACATTTTCTGTACTGTAAAATTCTACTTTTTTATGACCTTGCGCTTCTCACGTTGAGCTCCAAAAACCTGGACTGTATGGCGCTTTGTAACATTCTGTTCCCATCTACACAATCTACTGTGCCTCTGAACTAAGTGTCATCTGTAAATACCATATGGGTATACACCTCTCCATGCTTTAATACTAACCTGGCCACCCTGGGCCCAGCGCAGATGCCTTAAGACAGCAGCACTTGTCACATCCTACCACTAAGTGAATGTTCCCTTTAACACTACTCACTGTCATTTAGCTCCCAACCAATTATCATATGAATGACTGGCCTTAGATTTTGAGGAATGCAACAGTGCAGTCACATGGAATAATAATAGAATCGTATTGTGACTGTTCGATGGTAAAGAAGATTAAAGAGATAGCAATGCTGATAAACGATTACTGATAAATGTGCAATTAGGACACAGGTTGACACTGCAGTTAGTTCCTAATCTGCAACGCAGCATTAGAATGAAATATTGAGGCAGAGGTGACCCTTCATTACCACCAGGAGATAGTAAGAACTGCAGATGCTGGAGTCAGAGACAACACAGTGTGGAGCTGGAGGAACACAGCAGGCCAGGCAGCATCAGAGGAGCAGAAAAGTCGATGTTTTGGGTCGGGACACTTCTTCAGAACCACCAACAGTATTAGACCTAAGGTAAAGGTATCACAGATACTGTACATCCCTGCAACTGAGGCCATTTTGGCCCAGAGCCCACAAAACCATTTCCTTCAGTCATTGTCAGGTCATCTGGATCTGATGAATGCTGACCTCTGGATCAGAATTCTTCAATTTGTGCCTGCAATACTGCAAATACTGCCTAAAATAAAACTCTGATCAATAATTTTAAACTTAACTTGCTGACAATCGCAAACCCCCATCAAATTTTGTTTAGGTGCCTATATGTTCTTTCAACCATTTCTATACACAATTCTTTTACATTCTACTCTTCTTACAGGCATTTCTGCCTTGCCTGAGCTTTGTAACGCTTCAATGGTGTCAGTTTCTGGTAAATTAGCAGACAGCATTTAACTATTTTAAGTTCCATACACATTAAATTTTATTAGATAAAACTAAGTTTTCAGAGAAATGACAGAAACTTAACAGAAGCCAGTATTGAAAGTGTTCTGCAAAACAGGGGAAATAAAAATAAACGGCTACAAAACCTCTGCACCTATTTACAGGAGATTCACATGGGAGTCCTTCTGAAGACCCCTCCTACTTGGCAAAAAAACTAGGCAACGCAATCCTTTCTTAAGAAGTGGAAAATAAACACTTAACTTATATGGAGTTTGTTATGAATATTTATTTCAGGAATGTAACTTTTAGTTTTTGAAAATTAATTTTGAAAATTTAAATGAAAAAATCCTGGTTTGGATGAACTAGTAAACATCCCGAAGATAATGACCATGCAAGAGATACTAAATATTTACATAAGGATGCTCAAGGTGGAAATGAGTAAACATAAACAATCGGTGACCCCTCCCAATTCCTGAATTTCTTGGTAGAGCTGAGTTATTTCCATTAGCGGTTTAAAGTATTGATATTAGTCCCAGATTAAAGAAGGATTTGAAAAGCCAAACATGAACAGTCCTTAAATTATCCATGTATTTTTAAAGGACAGGGTTGTAAATTGTGGGTGATTGGTTTGAATCTTTATTTGGGATGTCCCAGTGGTGCCACATTGCTATGGGGATCGGTTGCCAAGGAGGTACGTTTTTGTACTGGATTTAGCTGTGTGGTTTTGCACAGAGTGAGACAGAGACAGAGACTCTAGCAATGATCTATCTGCTGGCAGTCAGAACAAGAAACATAGAGGCCATTAGGAACCAGTGGTGTCCCTGAAAATGTCAATTTCATGATGCATTAAATTTGTCTGATCTGCAGAAAAGTTTGGCAAGTTAGCATTTGATGAGTGGGACACCATAGTTAATGAGGTCAGTTCTGATGAAAGCGTGAGAAAACTCACTAGGCCTCACAGAGGGTAATGGCTCCCCAGCGAAACTAGACAAATAAAACACTTAGAGATAGTAGGAACTGCAGATGCTGGAGAATCCGAGACAACAAGGTGCAGGGCTGGATGAACACAGCAGGCCAAGCAGCATCAAATAAAACACTTAGCTAATTTCTGTCTCCATAAGAATGTAGTGGTGATCACTCTCACCAACAGTGTTACGGACAGATGTTTCCACAGCTAAGTTGGTAAGAACAAGGTCAATTAGATTTTTCCATCGAGTTGATTCTCTTTACCACTTTCCACCAGCCCAGTCTGGCACATACATCCTTTAGGACTCAGCCAGTTCAGTCAACAATGGTGTTACTGAACAACCATTGATCCTGAAGATCAAAGTCCCCCAATCAGTCTACATTCTGTGCCTTTGCCACCCTGAGTGCTTTTTCCAAGTCATATCCAACATGAAGGAACACTGATTCAACAACTGACTGTGGACAGACATTAATAATCAGCAAGGCTTCATGACTTGTGTTTGCTAAATGTTTCAGATCAATGGTCTTCTGTGAAAACCAAAGTAAAGATGAACTGGTTTGAAATGTTTACTTGACGCTTTCCACGGTTTGACCTGCTAAGTAATTCTGGTATGTTCAGCTGAGATTTCAAATGTTCAGATTTTGCCTGACAGCTTATTCCATATCTGTGTGACTGCTATCTATCCTTTGAACCCTTGTTGTTTATGGATGTGTACAGCTTGCACTTTGGACTTTAAAGCCCGTTACTGTGTGATATGGTTATAAAGTTCACATTCGGCCTGGCCCTTCAAATCCACAACATCTTGCACAGTAGATAGGAGAGGAACCAGAAAGCCAAGTCCAGCCTTTGAAAAAGACAAATTTAAATGTATGTAAAGACAGGGGCTATGAATAAGCAGGTCTTTTGGAGAGTTGGTGTGTGGTAAGTTTGACAGTCATCTGACCTAGAAATATTATTGATGATGAGAAAAACCTATAAAAAAGATAACTGAGTCACAGTCTGAAGTCACTGATTAATGGTTTCAGAATGGTGAACTGAATTGCAGGATACAACCACCAACCAATACAACCAATTCTAATATATCTTCCATCCCTGTGTTCTTAAAAACTGAATCTGACCCCTTCAGAATTGTTATACACTCCTCCTAATGTCCCTCCCACTGCGGGTCAGGAGGCCCAGGTTCAAGATCCACCTGTTCCAGAGGTGTATTGCAAGATGTCCAAACAGGTCCACTAAAAATGGAAAAAAAACTACTTCCAAAACAATGGTGACCAGAATAGAATTCCACCAATAAAACACAACCAATTGCCCACCTTTATGCAAACCTCAGCGTACGGTGTTGGTAACTCTGCCGCCAATACAGCAGTTGTGTAACTCAACATTTGTCCAAATTAACTCAGTGAACATTTACTCATAATTGCTTTTAAAATAATTCCTTTTAATCTCTCTTCAGGGTGAGGAAAAGCAGGTAGAAAAATGTTCAATCCTCTTTTTGATACCTGCTGTTGAAAAAATGTGTACATTTGAATCCGTAACTTGTACCGAAGTTACAATATGTTTCTCTTCTACTTATATTCCCTTGCATTGGTAGCATTTTCAGCTTGACCAGCAGCTGACTTAAACTGCTGAGTATCATGTGGATGAAATTTCACACCTCAGCAAATGGCTTCGATTGAGGGTACATACCTGATCTATTAACAGCGTCTTGTTATTTCGAGAGAGATGATAGGCAGTGTAAGATCCCTGGATTCCTGCTCCAATCACTATCGTATCAAAGTTGTTGTCAATGTCATTTCTCGGAGCAGCCATCTTCCCGAAACTTTGACAAATGTTTATTGAATCACGTGCCTTCTCAAAGGTCACCTTATTAAAATAGTCGTTACTGACTAAGAGGACAGACCTAACTGTATTTCTGCATGCCCCTAAAAATAACAAGTGCCTCAGTTATTAGAAATATCTTACAGAAAAGCAGCAGTGCGTGGTCTGTTGGCAGTCCAGCGAGGAACATACGTTTTCCTAATAAATTACTAACTCTCTTGCCCAGGAAGTGATCTTACCATCAAGGAGGGGCGATATCTGTGCAGTACGATGATGTGGTCCACCTGCTGGGTTAGAATTGCTTTCTTATTCCTCCCCAAACAACCTCATAATTTTACCCAAAAGGGGCTTCTTCTGAATAAGATCACTTAAAATACAAGCACACACACACAATTTCTTTAGTAGCTGGGAGACTATTCATTCACATCGATAGAAAAAGGAAAAGTTAATATTTCTCCGCGTTTACAATCGGACGAGTAGCGTTCTCTGCCTTTCAGATTCCAAGCGCTTGCAGTTATTCGCCCTTTGGTGTTAGATTTAATTCATTTTCAATTAGACCAGAGTCCCAATGCTTTTCTCACTTGGGAACTTGGCTTAAACATTTCCCTTATGGAAAGCGAGAGCCACTAAGAATATTGTTTTACTCATGCAACTTCTACACAGCACAGTCTTTGAACACACTTTAATAAAGGAGGAGGATTCTGCCGAGACCGGGACCAGTCTGATTGGGAACTTTAGCTTCAAAGCATTACTTCATCGGAGGATTTTTAAATGTGAAGGGGTTCATATTGAGATCCTGCGTGTAGTCCTGCTTGCTGTTTGAAATGGGAGAGAAGGGGAGGTTCGGGTTCCGTTCGTTTTCAACTATTCATTTTCTTCCCTGTAGTGATATTTTATCATTGCTGGAGATTGACTTTTTAAAATTATCATTATGGCGCTACTCTACAGTAAGCTCTTGATTTCCCCCTTAATGGAAATGAAAACAGAAATTAGAAATTCAGTTCTTACGGTCACTTCTTGTTTAAACAAATACCCTCGCAAGTTTCTCGTTATGTCAAAATATTTTTCTGCCCAATTTCAGGTTTATCTACTGTAAAGTACAAAGTCCTCAAACTATTCCGAATGAGTTTGTTCTTCAAAACAGAATTTCCAGAGAGAATGTGTCCCAAAAGATGCCGGAGAAATGGATACAGGAGCCCTCTTGTAAGAAGTTCTGAGTGACCCGGTTCGGGGTCTGAGGGTGGAGTTTTTTTTCGCTTAAAATGCCTTATCTGTACCAAGGACAAGTTTGCCTAACCTGATTCCGTTGCCAAAACAATAAGTAATAACACCAAGACTTGCGGATACAGGAGATCTGACACTAACCAATACAGACATTGCTGGAGGAACTCAGCAGGTCTGGCAGCTTCTATGGAGTAAGAAAAAAACGTTTCCGACCTCCTGAATATTTTCCCATCAGTTTCTGTTTTATTTCCCTTATAACAGTAGCTCTTTTGTGAACAAGAACTTCTAACTTAAATGGTAGGTTAAATACTTGCTGCAAAAATGTGTGTGTTAGCCTGTACACTTCCTTTTCTTCACTAAAGTTGATCAAGCTGCCAAAGAATCTGAACCCACCTCCCCAAAGCTTTAGTCTAGATTTATAGAGGTCTTGTGATATTACTGTTTTACCACTGCCTCCACATCCACTTTAATAGTTTTGATGGATATAACTTCAATTTCAATTTCTGGGTAATATCTCATTGGTGACTAAAAGTAATCAAGGTCTGGGAAAGCAATTAAATGCAGAGTCTGTCATACACCAAACAGTCCAACCCCAACCCTTTCTAACCTGTGAGCTACAGTTCAAGTCCCACCTGCCATCAAAGCTGTGTTCTAATACATCCAAACAAATAAATGGACAGAGTCCAGGGGAAAGCGATTACAGTCTCCTCCATTGAAAGTAGGGCATTTTTCAGTGATAGGCTAAACTTTGTGAAGTTAATTTATTGACGATCTTGACAATCAAAAATGCAAGAAATTTGTGCAGACGGCATAATTGTTAGACTGGCATTTTTCTCCTGCTTTTCATTTCTCTTTGCCTCTATGGACAGGAATGCCAGGTTAGCAGAAAGTGAGTGACCGAGTGATAATGTTTTGCAATTGTCTGGTGTCTCACTATGAGCAGATATAGGTAGAAAAGACTCTCACTGGGGTTCTTAAACACTCAAAAGTCCAGCCCTGTCTCTTGAGAATTTGCTTCCCCTAAACGTAGAGTAAAAGAACTAAAAATGTTGCAGTTCTTAAGCTGATATATTGTGAGAGCTGTCCGTCAGCTTGCCAACTGAATGTCGTGGTATCTACATGTAAAGAACAAATATATTAGATGATAAGATTCTTTTGATTTGTAGGATGTAATTGTAGGAACATTTCTAGGTGAGTAATAGTTGTAAAAGTCGAAGGTTTGAAACTTTAATACAGTGTGATGGTGAAGTAATTAGTAGCAGCACACTTTGTAAAGGTAAATCTGATCAATCCAATGTTTAAACTACTTTTGCTGCTGTAAGTTGTCCAATGGAGGATGGTACATCCTCCCATTCCCTTGGGCTATTCCCTTTGGGGTGTCCAACAATCATTGCTGAAGAACAATCTTCTGTTTTTGTTCATTCAAGAACAAAGACACTTTGGCTGATGTAGTGCAATGGGAAATGAATATGTTAAAGATGATGATGCAAAAGATAATGATAATGAAGAGCATGGAGAAGCAACTGAGAGTCAAAGGGCAGAAGAGAAGCACTGTACAAGGGAACTGAATTCAGTACAATGTATACCTTAAATCATTGTGTGTGAGAGAGAATTACTCTGAAAGCACAAACCAAAGATGCAAAGGAAGGGAAAATGGAAGTCAATGCAGTTTCTAAGAGTGCAGTATAGAAATCTGATGTGCTAGGGAACCTAGGGAGTTTAGAAGCCATTTGGGCTTATATCTGTGGGAGAAGTATAATCCATAACTATAGTTGCAGCAGTCCAAGACATGCTTACACCAGGGCTCTCCAATGACAGCTAAAACCATATTTTCCAAAAGATTCTGTATTGTTTCTTGTATTTTTTAGTATAATAGCAGGGCAGCCTTGATGGGTTGAATGATCTCCTCCTTCCTATGTTCCTATATGCCATTTCTGTAGGGTTTTCCTGATTGCTTAGAATAACTCTGGCAGTAATTCAGTGCGAAGCATTTCCTGTGAACTTCAGTTGATCTTCCATCAATGTTACTGTGGAAGATCAGACAAGCTCTGAGTATTGTTGCTGTTTCTTTCAGAAATTATTCTGAGCGCATTGTCTGCTCTTTTAAACTGCTACTTCTGCAACAACTTGCAAAGTTCCGAGTCCTCCACTAATGGGTGAGCTTTTAGACAAAGATAATTAAAATTACTTAAAGCACCCACAAGATATTCAAAATAGGCCGGTTCCAGAATCGAACACAGGGTTAGAATGTTCCACATTGTGTGATATTGAAGCCTGAGAAAATATTCAGAGGAAAGTCACTTAAGCACGATGGAGCTTTCACAGCAATGAGTTGAAAACTGTCCAAAGTCTATTTGGTCAAAAAATTGTAGTCTAATCTGTGCTCAACTGGAAGTGATTTGATACAATGGCTGTGATTATTGCTGTTTGTTTTTTGTTCCTTTCTTCTTTCCTGTCAAGCCTGTTTGTTTACTTTAGCAAATGTGAAGTGTCTTCATCCTTTTAGATTGCTTTTATTTTGTGTAATCTTGTGCTCACTCCAACTGTCAGGTTTTCAGAGTGCCTAGTGGATGCTGACACAAGCTTTATATTGGAAAATGCTGAATGCTAACTTCATTTGGATGTGGATGGATAGGTCCGTAATTAAATTTGTCCTGAGTAGGCTGACACCCAAAGACTTAATGGTGATTTGTCATGCATTTCTCAAATTATATTCCTAACATCGCAGCAAATACATTCGATTTAAGGATTATTATTTCTGCTCATTTCATAAATCAAAAATATAATCAATCAACCTTTGGGTTAAATCATCATTGAGTTAGAAATTTAGCTTTTAATGCAAATAAGATCTAACTGGAAGAAGGCTGCTCCACTTTTACTGTTATATTCTACTTACTACTGCCCTGAACAATTTTCCTTTCAATTAGTGAGCCCTCGGTGTACCTTTCAGAACATCTGTTTGGCCAGAATATTTCAACCACCTTATCCACTTATCTGATTCAATTATTGACAGCTCCCACCAGTGACAAGCTTCTCTGCTACTGAAGTGAAGATCTGGTAACATGTAGAAACAATACGCCAATCCATTGTTCAAGAAACCATGCAGGAATATGTTCAAAGTTTAAATTATCTCTTGTCTTAGAGAAATAACAGAACATTGAAAACACAGAAACAAAGACAATAGGAGCAGGAGTAGGTCTTACTTTGGGCTTGCTGCACCATTCAATACGAACATGGCCAATAATCTCTATACTCCATTCCTGCTTTCACCCCGAATCCCTTTTAGCTCTAAGAACTACCTCTAACTCCTTATTGAAAACATTCAATGTTTTGGTCTCAACTACTTTCCGTGGCAGAGAATTCACAGGCTCACCATTCTCTGGGTGAAAATGTTTCTCCTCACCTCAATTCTAAATGGCTTACCTTGAATCTTTAGACTGTGACTCATGGTTCTGAACATCAGAAATATCCTTCCTGTCTAGTCCTGTTAGAATTTTATAGTGAGATTTCCCTCATTCTCCGAAACTCCTGGAAGTATAATCCTAACAAACTCAGTCTTTCTTCATACATCAGCCCAGCCATCCCAGGAATCAGTCTGGTAAACCTTTGTTGCACTCTCCCCATAGCCAGAACTTCCTTCCTTTGATAAAGAGACCAAACTGCATGCAATACTCCAGGCACTCCTAACAACTGTTGATCTTTAATTACAAATACATTTGACCATATTTAAGTCAGAATTACAGATTTTATTAATTTTGACAATAGTTGACATTAGTTGCCAAAAAGGAGGAAGAAAGTACAAGCAGTTTTAATATTATTGTGATCATTCCTGCCTCTCCAACAATAGAGGATAAACATTACTGAGAAGTTTGACTCAGTAAAAGTTGCTTTTTGCTTGTTAAGATTATAGTTGAAATTAAAATGAGGTGATTTGCTTCTTTGCAAACCGAGTGTTAACTCAATGAGAAAATGTTAAAATATCATTGATCATCCTGACTG